TACAGCACTAATGCATTTCAGAGTATCTATTATTATACTCTGGGATGTTGCCATCACTGGCACAACCACCACTGGTGCCTGGTCCTCACAGGCTAACAGCAATACCCAGGCACCCTGTCCCTGCTGGGAACCAGGAATGCTGGCCCCCTGCTGTCATCCAGCCCCAAAACCCTGCACAATGATGGAGATGATTTTTGCTGACTCACGTTGTCAGGTAGTTCCTTTCTGCTCCTTCTCAAGATATAATAGGGGTCAGAGCACGAGGGCTGATGGCGTGCAGGGAAACAAAAATGAAAACAGCCTTGGTCAGAAGAAGATTTACCTTCACTTTTGTTAAGTAGTAATAAAGGTAAGACCCACTGAAGTATAAATTCTGGCCCAAACTAGTGCAAATTCCCTTAGTCTGCAGTTGTTTACTTACCTATCACTTAGAAATGTAGTTTTGCCTATTCCTTAAAGTTACAACAGTTTTCCTTCCCAAAAGCCTGGGCGTAAGTGGATTATATGGAACTAGCAGCTTTCAGGAAGACAAATCAGTTCCTCCTGGAACTCTCAAACCCAGATCCACTCTAATGGCTCAAACACCACAAAGAAACATCATTTTCATTTCCCTCCTTATTTTTTCCAATTAGCCTCCTGGATTTCTAAGCTCTGAAAGATGCAGTTTGGGAGGAATTCTGCAGATACTGTCAGTAAGTAAGTGTGCTAAAATGCCCCAAACTTTCCAAGCCAATTCCTCCACACCTTCAGCAAAGTGCTCTGTTGTCTTCTCCTACCTTCTTTGCCAAGGTGAAGGGGAAAGGGGGAAGGTGGTGACATAAAGGACAACACTGGCAAAAGAAAGAGAGACCAATCACATACAAATAAGCTCTGCCTAGAAATTAGAACCCTTCTGTCACAGCAGTGTAATCTTGAAGCGGGTTTGGCGCAAGGTAATGGGAACAAAGGCAAAACCAGAACAAAGTCCCCGGTTTACGAACACAGGTTGAAAACAGCTGCCTCAAAAATGACTTGAGGAGAAATTTCCACCCTCAGACACTTAATCCAAGTTTATATAATCCTAAAGACTTTCACAGAAAATGTCACTTTGCAGCTTCAGCAGCTCTTTCATCAGCCACTCCCTCAGCTCAGGACAAAGTGATGCCAGCGGCACACATCCAGCCTGAGGAAGGAGCAATCCATCCTGCTCACAACACACAAACTGCACTTCGGCCGCCTCCTCTGGGACACGCAGCTAAAGGCTGAGGAGCTTTCAGTTTCTTCTCATTCAACACCAACCTCTCGTTGTGAGAATTAAAGCACCCCCTGAAATTTGCAGGCAAAACCACCCCCAAACCCCAAAAGCAACTTCCCAGCAATAGTTAAATGTGAGCCGGTTACGTAGTCAGATTCTCCAGAAGATCATTTTAACCACAGTGTTGTACCCTCCCAACCCTAAATCCAATGCAAATATGAAGAGCAGTCATAAACCACAGCTGAGCAGTATGTGCTTCTCCATGCCAGTGTTTGCTCATTTGCTGTATTGCTTATGTCCAAGTCTGCCACCAACTTAAAACAGCAACGTTAACGATGTAACTGCCACCAACTCCAACAGATGCAGCGTAAAAGGAGGTGAAAATCAATCCTTTTCTTTGCAAAATGGAAACAGAACAGTAAGAAAGTGGGGAAAGAAGACACTATTTAGTAAAAACTAATCACAGTGATGACCATGTGTTCCTGCATATGATGAGTGTGACAGTAAGGCACTGAATAAATTAAAGTAACTGAAATGGGAGCTATCTGGAGCTAGCAGGCAGCCTTAAAAGCTGGTGGCTGTAAATTAACGCTGGAAAACCCAGTCAGGGGGCTTAAATATGTGAGTGAAGCTAATTAACCATTAAAGCAGCTTGCCCATGGACAGCACTGGCTCCCTCAGTGCCTTTGCAGCGGATGGATTTCTCTGCCAAAACGCCTCCAGCTGATATACAGCTCATTTCCAACGTGCTCTGCTCTGTGCCATGTGAGAGATCAGCTTGGGTAACTCCGAAAGCTCTGTGAAAGGGAGTATGTATTCCAGGTAATGAGGAGAGTACAGGCTGTGAGGGTCTGAGGAGAGCCTTCCCTGTGCAAATCAGTTCTTCTTGAAGCTGCTAAGAGAGTTCAGTGGTAAAAGAGCTGTTGTGACAGTGAGAAGACAGGCAAAAGGCCCATCCCACCAGCCCTCTGTGCAGCTGCACCCTTTGGCTTCCACCAGCTCCAGTGCTTGTGCAATAAGCTACACTGGAAACCTGACATGGATTAAAACTAGCTTGGGTTTGGGTTCTTTTATTGGTATTATTTTAATCCAGGCCATTTTCCCACACTGGTTCCACACATCATCACTCCCAACAGCTGACAGATGATGGTGACACAAGATTGGGAACCACAGCGGACATGAGAGGAGGGAGTATTGCAGCAGCAGAGCCAGTTCCTGCTGGGTTTAAGTGCTGGTGAAACTACCACCAAAGAGGCAAGTTAGGTGCAGTCTAACAGCTCACCACCACCAAACCACACATAGCCTTGGCCTCCCTGGCATGTGTTCTTGCAAGCAATTGTCTCTAAGTTGAATCAATGCAACTTGCTAAATCAGCTAAATAAAGCACAGGAAAAAAAGAAGGTGGTAACTTTCTGTCAAGGTAGTGAGCTGAGTCCCTTTATCATGGGATCATGGAGTGTCAGACCCAGGGCAAGGAGGAAAGGGAGCGGGGGTGCCCTTTAACAGTAACAGAGGGGTTCGCTCCTAACTTCACCTTTCCCATAGAAACCAAAAGGAGGACGAGTCTAAGGATCCCCACCTTCTCAGGATAAACCCTGCTAATGCCACATCCAGCACAGGCTGCAAACAGGGAATTGCAAAAATCTGAGCCTTGGAGATCTTGGTGCCTTTTTCTCTCTCAAACTTGCTTAAAATCACAGTCCTTTGCTAAAATCACTGTCCTGATGGTCACTCCTACTTGAGAAAGTACAACCTGCCACAGCATTCCCCATACCCACCCCAGGGCACAGTTCCTAAGGACTCATTCCCACACTATTTTAACCCACTCTTTGCTTTTAACGTCTTCCCCAGAGCCGTAAGCACAACAGTGGCTCATGGCCAGGGAAGGAAAAGCCGTCACTCCTGAATGGTGGGGCCCAAGCCAGTGCAGTTACCAAAGCGGCACCACTTCCACATGCCTTTCTCTTCCGTGTGATTCAGCTTTGGGAAAGACTTTCTGCTGGTGTAAACTGGTGCTGAATGCAGCCTGCAGAGCCAGGTTTACCTTGGCTGAGGTTCCAGCTTTCCTTTGTATTCATACAAGAGTCAACAAGACCAGAAAACACCCGTTACGATGGGAGCACAAAAGCACTCGATACCAGAGAGTCTCCTAAAGTGAAATAGTAAATCCCTGACATGCTGTTGTGAAGGTGTAAACCAGTAGTTTTCTTTTTAAACCATGTTAAAGTATGATAAAGACTTTCCTCTGCTTAAGACTTGGAGATCTAATGATGGACTAGTTTGGGTTGGAAGGGACCTTAAAGCTCATCCAGTTCCAAGCCCCTACCCACTAGAGCAGGTTCCTCCAAGCCCCATCCAACCTGCTGACCACTGAGAGACCAGGCAGCACTCAGCAGCTCAGGCAGCTCTCTTCCTGAAGCATCCATGAGTGATGCCTATGGAAACACCCGGAGAACTCCAAGTGAATGGTCTTATATTGAGCAGGGAAGCTTTGTAATCATCTGATATAGAAAGAAAAGTCATATGACAAACATGATTTCTGCTTCAATGGCTAAAAATGTATGTTTGACTATTTACCTCTGACAAGGAATTAACCAGTATCCACCCAGTAGACAGGAGACCTGCACTAAAACCCCCTCAGGAAGCTGTATGGGAAGAGGCAGCATCTTTATCTTGGGATGGAGTGGAAGATGATTGATCTGCAGGCTCCAGAAATAGTTACAAAGCCGGGAACGGAAGAACAGGCAAGAACCAAATATGAGTGGGAAGGGAAATTCAGATTAGATTCTGGAAGACAATAAGGAGTCTGAACCAAGAACGAACTTCTCGTGGGGAGGTGGCAGTGAAAACACATTTGTCTCCTGGGTAGTCTGACGTTCTTCACTGGCATGCCAAAGCTGCAGGAAGGAAAACAATTCCTCTGATTTCTACTCCACTCTATAGCCTGAGAAGGGGTTTGGACACGGCATGGGCTAGACAGCAGGGCAGACAGAAACCAGCTCTTTTATCCAGGGCCTCAGTTCCTGAGGTGCAGAATGGGAGAGCTCCTCATTTCCTTTTACATGGAGAAAGCAATAAGGAAAACAACTGAGGTGGACCAGAATCAAGGGATCTTAGTCAAGCACTTGCTGCCTGCCAGCGAATCCCCGACCGACTCGAGTGCAGCACTTGGGATCCTCCTCCCTCTTGCCACACTGAAAATAAGCTGCAATTTTTGGGCACAGATCTCTCTGTCAACAGTGGGGCTGGAACGAGGGATCCCTGAGAGGCAGCTCGGGTCTCCCCTAAAAATCCTCTCCCACAAACCACAGAGATTTATCTGCCCCTTCTGAAGCCACCTGAGCTCAGGCAATAATTTATACAACACAAATCCCATGTATTCAGCTTGTTTAGTTAAGAAAATGAAGTAACAAAAGCAAATGTTTTATCTTGGCTTTAATTCTCTAAGCCAAATGAAGTTATTTCCCATAAGGAGAGGGGCTTTGGACAAGGACCTGTAGGGACAGGCCAAGGGGAATGGCTTTAACCTGCCAGAGGGGAGATTGAGATGAGCTCTGGGGCAGAAGCTCTTCCCTGTGAGGGTGCTGAGGTGCTGGCACAGGGTGCCCAGAGAAGCTGTGGCTGCCCCATCCCTGGCAGTGTTCAAGGCCAGGTTGGACACAGGGGCTTGGAGCAACCTGCTCTGGTGGAAGGTGTCCCTGCCTGTGGCAGGGGTTGGAGCTGGAGGAGCTTTATGGTCCCTTGGAACACAAACCATTCTATGGTTCTATGATGCTTCTGTGGAGCTGTTCTGAGCAGATAACTTGGGTAAAATCAGAAGTGCCAGATGGAACAGGATCAAAACCAGGTAACAACTCTGATGACACCGACCAGTGGAGTTAAAGGAACAAGCTGAACTTACAAACAAGTCACCATGTCAGCAGCTGCCCCTCACGGACCATTTATAGCAGAATCACTTTTCTATTCTTGCTTCTTTTAGAGCAATACATGGCCAGCAACGGAATGTGGGAGCACTTGCCCATGCTCAGAGCCTGCTTCTCTGATGCTTCCCTCCTGATCCTAAACCACATGTTGGAAGGATCTAACTACAGAATACATTAAAGAAATGCTATTTCCTTGTAAACTGTTTATTTCGAGGTCTTCCATGTTTTAAGCAGGGACAAACTGGAACACATCATACCATAAGATAACCAAGAAATAGAGGGGAAGCAATCTCAGTGTGCTCCCACAAAGACTTCTTACATCTCCACTAGCAAACTGCCTAGAAATTGAAGTTCTGCCTCCCTCACTTTCCAAGCTGTGGAACCATTTCATCTCCCAATATAATGGAAAGCAGAATGGGAAATGTGAGCAAGGGATCACCCTGTGTGCACTATTTTAAGTATCTACCGAATACACAAGGGATAGAGCTGTGAAGGCAAAAGTTTCACCTTTTGTAAAGCAATAATGCAGGGTGCAGATGTTGCTGCAATTAATGATGACTTAATAATCAATGATGTTTGACATTTGCCAATAGTAAGTATTTAGAATAGTAAGAACCCATCTAAGGAGCTCAAGTGTAAATCAGAACGGACCAGAAACCAAAGCAAGCCATGGCAGTATCATTTGTAGTATCAAAACAAGCAGGTAGTATCATTTGTTACATGTTCATAATGGAATCACACCTTCTAGACTTTACTTTTTTGGGGGTAGGGAGGAAGTTAGAGAAAAAGAGAAGCCATCAGAAGTGAAAAGAAAAAGGTAGTTGTGAGCTGATTCAAAAGAGAGGCAAAACGTTTACCCCTAAAAGGGGCTGCAGATATTTCAATCAACAAGCTAAATATAAAATAGCAGTAAGAAAAATGACCCAGACAAAGCAGGAACTCAACCAAGGCTGGAAAAGCAAATACTCTGAATTTCTATATTTAGGGAGCTGACATTTTTGCTCCTGAACAGCTGACACAAGCTGGTGCTAGTTGAGAGATGCTGCTGATCACTAGACATTGCAGTACTACCTGTGCCCCCAGGGCACAGGCCTGGGCATCCCCTGTAGCTGCAGAAGGCAAACACAGGGCACAAAAAGCAACATCTCATATCACTGCCCTTCCAAGGAAGCTTTGCATTGACTGAGCAGGTGAGAGGAGCAGAAACCCAAACACCAGCCTACAGGTAAGAACCACGGGATGCACGTGCTGCCCCTGCCTCCCCGCTTGCAGCAACGGGATACCCGCCCTGCATCCTTATTCACTGCTCTGGGATAATGCTGTATTTCCCTCTAAATCCATGCATCCTTTCATCTCTCTTCCAACCAATACTATGGGTTACTCCTGCAGCGCTCTGCCCCTCCCCACAGCAGAGGTTCCCACCTTCCCCACTGGATTCCCCACGCCCCACACAACCATTTCAGACCATGAAGTCTTCCAAAGGTAGTAAAACTTTCCAAGCAGAACAAGCACTCCAGAGCATTCCCGGGGCACTGAGGGCACTTCCACACCCACATGTTCTCTTGGAGCATATCAAGCACCACCCTGGACAACATCACTTATCACCGTCTCCTGTATCACAAACCTTTCTCTGTATCTCCTGCTGCAGGTGGGTTTGCTGGCTCCACCACCCTCCATGCCAACAGAAACCCAAGCAGAAGCCTCTCGGGCACTGTCATCTTCACCTGCTGTCACATCTAGGCAGGTCCTCCAGAAGCTCTGTGCTTCCCTTCATCACCAAGACCCTTTCTCAGAGTGGTCAACACTAGACTACTTGGGAAAGCACACAAGGATCTCTACACTGAGCAGGTATGGGATACTCCAGCCCCTTGCTACCACCTCTTCAACTGCTTACATCCACAGACACGATGTTTTCAATCCTTCTCTTCCTAAATTTGGGAAGTTATTGCGAATTAGAGCCTTGAACATTCTCATCCAGCCAAAAGCCCACGTACACTTTTGTTATAACATTCCCTCATTCTTGACCTCAACATCTTCCAACATCAGTGAATTCCATGGCCCAATTATGCATTGTATAAAAACAATCTCTGAATCAATTTGGCACCTTCTAACGTATCTGAATATCCCTCTTTCTGTGATACAACACAGAAGAAAGGAGCTCACGATCTGGTTTCTCTATGGCATTATTGCGTATGTACCTTCTTTCCTACTCTCTTACTCATTTCTTTCTCCAGGTACTAATCCTGGTCTTCTGAAGCTTTCGCCACATAACTTTTCTAAGCTCCTGGTGCAATGCAGTACACAGAGCCAGGCTCCCTGGTTGCTGCTAAAACATGGGCAAAGTTTGGTAAAGTAAATACACCCTGGAGGAACTGAGTGGCAATGAGTCCTTAAGCAGGTATTTCCTGCCATTCCCAAGGGTGGTAGTCAGAGAGAAAGGAGCCCATCATGGCCCTGGGAAGGACACAGCAGAGCCCAGCACCAGTAGGGTATGTTCACATCCTCAAGCCTCTTGACCCAAGCAAAAGCTCCACCCTTTCTTCTCCCCTAATGCAGAGCACAGCCTTCCCCCCCCTCTCTTCCCACTTCCTCAACTCCCACCTTGGCTTCCTCCTCGAAACATGCATTTCCTTGGGGTTTTATCTCATTCCAACCCCTTCCAAATAACTTTCCAAGGAAGGGATCTCTTGCAAAGCATTTTACTCCCCTGCTGAAACCTTGGCAACGTGTCTCCCTTCTCCTCAGGGCCAGATACACATCGGAAAGCTGCAAACCCACCAGAAGAGCTGAGCAAATCTTACCGCGCCTCTGAACTTCATCTCTGCCTCCTGGCAGCTCCTGCAGAGCCTGAGTTCACCCTGCTTTCTGAGGACAAGTTCTCTCTCCTGTCAGTTGCCTTTTTTTTTTCATGACATTTTCGGTGCAGTCACAACTCCTTCCCTCCCACCAGCTCCTACTGGAGCATCCCGGAGAGGGCGTTTTCCAAGGAGAAGGAGAGGAACTCTCCTCCCCTCGCCAAGAGGAGAGCCGGGCGTGCAGAGCTCAGGAGAGGCAGGCCAAGAGCACTCAGCTGTCCTCTGCCTTCCCTGCTGAGTGCCCAACCACAGGGAAAAACGGAAAGAAAAGTAATCCCAGGTGCTGGAAAAGCTGGTGCAGAGCCCAAACACAAGCCCACAGCGGCGGGACAGGAAGAGATGAGCTCCATTAAAGCAAAGGTTTGCACTGAAGCTGCAGCAGCAAGAGGCTTCCCCAAACCCCCTCCCAACTCACCACAACAGCAGCAGAACCTCCAGGGTTCACAGTTACAGCTGTAATGGAGCTCTCAGCAAATCAAAGGACCAGGAATAGGATGTACTTTGACTTGTCTGCTCTTGCAAGGACTTTTAGCATAGTGGCTCCTGAGTATTCTACTCCAGAAACACTTTGAGACATGCACCCTCAGAGCACACACTCTATATGGAGGTCCCCAAGGTCCTCATGCCAAAATATCCTGCACTACACCAAGACAGACCCTTCCTAGGACAGAGTCAAGCCGCTGTTACCCTCAGCCTTCCTATCCTTGCAAACAGAAGCAGCATGTTTCTGTCTCTGAGGCCATCTAGGTTTGGTCACACAGAATGGTTTGGGTCGGAACATCCACTTCCAGCCACGGGCAGGGACACCTTCCACTAGAGCAGGTTGCTCCAAGCCCCTGTGTCCAACCTGGCCTTGAACACTGCCAGGGATGGGGCAGCCACAGCTTCTCTGGGCACCCTGTACCAGGGCACACACGCAGCCTTTGCTAGCATTGGGTGCAAAGTGAGAGCAGGAGAGTCAACGGGTGAAAGCTGGAAGAAGGGAAATTCCAATGAGATATTGGGAAACTTTTTTTTCCATAGTGACTGCTGTCAAATACTGGAACAGGGGCCCCACAAGTTGTGAAACTCCATCCTTGGAGATATTTAAGGCTCAACCAGACAATGCCTGAGCAACCTGACCTAAAACTGGCCCTGTCTGAAAGCAGGGTTGGACCAGAGATCCCCACAGGCCCCTTCCAACCTAAAATGATTCTCTGAATTATTTTGCTCCTCCATGATCTAAGCTACGTGTCCATCCTAAAACGAATTACAGGTACAGCAAGTACAGCTGTAGATGTGCTACAGACAGTACACTGCCCTGGCACAGGGCCCACCCGCTGCATACCACCCTTGGGGTATTTCGGGTCAGGAGTACTTCACATTCTGAGCTGCCAGGCAGACCCCTGAGGGAGATGAGTCCTGCCCTGAGCCACTGACCCTCCATTTCCAAGCATCAGTGACTAAAACCAGCCACTTGATCTGTCTCAGAGCAGTGATGAAGATACACACACAGCAAAACACTCTCTTGCATCTGCTGAACATCTTCTCTTCATGCTTCTGAAGTCAGGTATCACACTAATGTCAGCCCTCAGCACCAGTTTCCTTACCATAAGCAGGTGAGCAGAGGTGGCAAACTCAACAGTACCCTTTTGTCATCATAAGACTTTTGGGAGGATATTTGTTATCTGGTTTTCTCTTTCCTTAAGTGGGGAAGGTTTTTCTGACGATCACAGGACAAAGAAGAAAATAGACATAAACCAAATTCCCTTCTCCAAAAAGGCTCGTTGACCCTCTGGTGTATTAGTCTCAGATCACATATGACTGCAGGACCCCAAGCAGTGTGTAGCACCACTGAGTAAGCCCAACACTACAACATATCTCAGTTGCTGGAATCCATTTACAGTGGTCCCTCATGGGAGTCAGCACCCAAACAGGCAGATTCTCTAAGTTAAAGGTAAAAGATTTAAAGTAAAAAGATTAAAGTAAAAAGATTTAAAGTAAGAAGCTAAAAACCTTTAAAGTAAAGCTAAAACAAGTGAAGTAAAACAAAACATGGCCACTACTCAGCCAGGAGGCTATTTAAAGCCAAAGAAACACAGCAGATGTTGTCAGTGGTTCAGTGCAGTGCTCCCCTCTCATTAGCTCTGACCCAAGGCACTGAGCCCAGCAATCCCATGGTGGATGTCATTCCTCACAGGAGGAACGTGCCAACCATTGCAAGGATTTGTGACGAAGCTCTTCTGAAGGGTGCTGTGGTGCCACCAGCTCTTCTGCCCTCACCAGATCCCATTTTGAGAGTGATTGAAACCTTAGCTCCCAATTCTTGCACAACTCTCTTTGGCACGACTTTTACTCCTTTTATCAGCCAACTGAAGAGTTCAGTGAATTATTAACAGAGGCAGCCTCAGGACACGCTTCCGAGGTGGGTTTAGCATTGGTTTATGTCAGAGCATTGAAAGAAATGGACAATACTCCAAAGCCCTGCTCAGTGCAGGAGCACAGGTAAGATCTGAGGTAATACAAGCTCTGTTTCCCTGAGCCACATGAGCCATTACTGAATCTCAACAGCAAGCCCTGAGCCAGGAGTTTTCCAAGTCTAATTAGAGCTGTGGCCTTGGCAGCTCTAATTCTTCAGGAGGAGAATGTCAGTTCTCCACCATCGTTCCTCAAATCAGTCCAGTCACGGCCAAACAACAGTCAATAAAAATCACGTTAAGTATTAGCAGAGAGTTATCTTCACATTAACACCTTCACCTTTCCTCTAGTTCACACCTCCTAACACTTGTCAGGACACACCTCAGCACTGGAAGTGCCATTTCCTTGCAGGAGAACCCTTTATTCAATGGGAAGTCCTTTACTCAAAAAGCTTTTTTCCTGCAGCCAAACCACTGCCCAGCTCCTGTTGGCGCACAGGTTAGCCTAAATGAGGAGGGGAAAAATATGATTGGAAAACAGAGAGAACCAGCATTAAAAGACCTTGATCCTGGATTATTAAGGTGATAAAACCAGGCTCTTCCTTTCCAGCAACAGAGCCCAGCCCTTGCCTGTGATTTCTGCTGAGGATGGCTGGCTTGGTCTGTGTCGCCACTACAGGCAACTACAGGCAGAGGAATGAATCAAGTTTTCCAGGCCTCACCAGTTAGAAGTGACTCACATAAACCCTGGATTAGAGCACTGGGATTGCTCTGCTCGGTGTTGATAAGCAGCTGATTGCCTGCATACAATTCCACATTCAAAGCAAAGGGACTGGAAACCTTTCCTGTCAGCCCTGCTCCGGCAGGCTCACAGAGAGCAGTGCGTGACCTGCTGAGCTGCATCTGCAAGCAGTGGCTCTGCTGGAAGAGGAAAGAGTTTAGCCCCATTAAACCAGCCTAAAACCAGTGAAACCATCAGCAAACCAGTGCAGATTCCACTGCACAATATAAAACTGGAGGTAAGAGATGCTGGTTTGGGTTTATGCTATTCCAAAAATCAAAGTGGATCACACCTACATTATTCCAAAAGCAAAAGATGTCAAGTTCATCTATCAATTTGTAACTTTTTTATCAGGATTTTTATAATATTCACTATTTCTGCCTTGCGAAACAACTCCAGAATAACACACATTCCATAATTAGAAAGCACTTGGCAAAGATACCATGGGAAAGAAACCACCCTCAACAGGCCAGGAATTCGAGGGCCCTTCCTCTCGCAGGTCAGAGGAACATCTTGGAAAATAGGAATTTCTTTAAGCTACCACGTGTCCTGCTGCCCAGACTATGCTGATCTAAAGCTGATTAAAATGCCTCACATTCCTAAGACACCCTATAGCAGAAACTGGAGGTTCTGAAGGACATCTGGACCACTCCTTAGGGAAAAACCTCTGTTCTAGCAGAGATGGACATTTGACTGCACAATAACTGGAAAAGCAATGCCCTGCTGAAGACTCAACACTAAAGATTGCAACAGGCTTTATAAGGAGGCAAAACCTCTTCATCATACCATCAGCTCTGCAAAGAATTGTCTGGTTTCTACTCTCTTTTTGTTTGTGTTAACACATCTCCTCTTTCCCCATGCAGAGAGCCAGCTGTGCCCCAACCAAGTAGTTAGGAACAGCCTTGGACATAGGACATCGGTCCCTGGAGACACGACTGGTCAGTTCTGGAACTGCAGACCTATGAAGGTTAAATCAAAAGCCCATTATACTCACTCAGAAGGTGTTTCCAGATGGCAAAGTTCCTTAATTTTCCTGCAAACTTCATGACATCATGAGTTCTCTGAATGCTCTGATTCTGTGTTTGCACGTTTATAGACAAAAGCTGAGCAGTATGTCAAGGTGTGGCCAAAAGGGTTGAAAAAAGCAGAAGACAAAAAAGTATATTTAAATTATTCTTTTGGATTCTAATTTATGCTTTTTAACACCTCAGACTGTCACTACTGGTTTTGTTTGTTTCCAGAAAGCTTCAGCAGTGAGAACACTAAATTTCTTTGCTTCCCAAGCTCGGTTTTTCACTGATAAACAAGAACATCACCAAGAAATGGAGCATAAAGATGGAGATACACCTCTCCTGGGACTCCTACTCTGTCTCTGTAAGCATCAGTCACCGTTTTGCTACCCCTGATGATAGATGCATTTGAGGACCAGCAGGTTTAAAAGCACATACACTGTGCTCCTATTTAGTCATGGCTCCCGCACACACACAATAATTGTGGGTCCGTGACGTGAGTGAAAACCAGAACTGGGTTAATCCAACAAATTAGGAGAAATTTTCCTTGTTGTTGCTCTCTGCTGAAGCAATGAAAGAGAGATGGATGAGTGGCTTTGATGATCAGAGCAAAGTCCTGCTTTATAATGACCAGATGCCCTTAATATGATGCCAGCGTGTCTTGTGCATGTGGCTTCTCTCGCTCCCTCCCTGTGACAGCTCTGGTGGTTGTTTTACATCACACTCTGCCCATTCTGAATCCAACAGCCATCGCTGAGCTCCCTTCAAGAGCACAGA